AGTAGAATTGTTTTATTACAATATAATCATGAAAAATTTTTTTCCAGAGCCGTAATTCCAAAAATGATGATAGTAAATATTAAATAAATGCTTTATCAAGTAATAAACAATCTTTCTGTATTGTTATTTAAAGTTAATCACATATTCTGATATATATATTTTTTTATTTTTAAATCAAAAAATAAACAACAATCAAGATAATTAACCTTAAAATGATTAACAAGTGAAATAACTAAGCCAAAAATGATTAACAAGCAAAATAAACCGAAAATGATCATCCTTTACCAAATGAGAAAAAAATTATGTTAATAGCTAGTTAAGAGTAATTTCTCATTTTTTTTTATAGATATGTTAAATATAATCAAAAATTTTGCAAATAAAGTGAAAGTTATGGTTTGGCTAGAAAAGCCCGGTGAGCGAAGCGAGCCAAATGAAATTGCATCATCATAATAAATCACATGAATATTTAATACACAATCACATGATCTACCAGTAATTTTTCCACCAGTTAAAATTTAGAAATTCTCTTTAAATCTTAAAAACTATTTATCATAATAATTATGATACTGTATGGTAGTATAAACCAACTTAATTAAAAAAAAGTCAGAATTATTACAGTTCTAATTATACTATGACTATAGCTCCCTGCCATGTTTAATGTTAACTTGTTATATAATACAATACTTTACTTTCGTCAATAAACTGGTTATTAATCAATTAAATAAATTAGCGCAGGAGAATTTTAGAAGATAAAATTCTTCAAAAATTCTTAAATCGTGAATATATAACCTGTTAAGCTTATTGTATTGCAAAAATAAAAGAAATAATGTGATAAATGAATATTTTCTTGAGGCGATTACTGCGGATACCGAATGCAGTTTCTGTTTCATGAAAAAAATGTACGATTATTTTAACCCACCTCAAAATAATTTTAGATGGATCAATTAAAGACTTAGTAAATAATTTTAAAATAAAAAAAATATTTTTTTATTTATTTAAAACATATAAAAAATATTAATAATAAATATAAAAATAAATGACTTTTAAATATAAAGAATAATTATTTGTTTGTTTGCAACTTTCTTAATGTTTAATAGACAAGCTAACCTAAGATTTTTCTATCATAATTTTTTATTGTGATATCAGAATGACATTTTCCAAGCATTCCGCTTTCTAGCATTTGTAATCAAAATTGTGCGTCTCTTTTTTAACAAGATATTTTTTTTTTGCTTATTTGATTCTTCCATAAAAGTTTCCACCATGATATAATACTAAATATAAACCAAGTTAAATAAAAATTTTTAAATATTATTCTGAATATTCTGATATATAAAACAAATTTGTTATTTAAGGCTCATCATTCAAATCATTTTCTTCTTGGTTAATTTCAGTGAGATCTATTATTAGTAATAATGACGAATTAGACGGAAACTAATTAATAAATCACTCCAAATAAATTATTTACCTGATTCTCTAAATTTTACAATCAAAACATTCTGAAACTATAAATTAAACAACAATATAATGTTAAAATAAATATAATTTATAAATACAAAAAGTATTTACACTTACTTAGATTTGCTGATACTGATTGGACATCATCGATTATTAAAAAGGTTAGATGTTATTAAAACTTGAACTTTTTTTTCACAATTAAAGTTGAAGATTTACCTGAATTAACTTGGAAAGATGTTAAATCTGATGAATTTACTGGTTCTGGAAGATTTTTAAAACTTAAAAGTCTACTGGTATAGATTGCTTGAGGATGAGTTTTAATACTTATAGAATTATTTCCATTAGAACTATTTTTAAATTTTTTTTCTTCAATTTTACCCTCATATTCCCACATTTGAGAATAATAATCATATGATTCGTCCAATTTCTTTAATGTTTGATACAATTCTTTAGCAATTGGTCTATTTTCTGCTTTAGCATCCCAACATTTCATAATTAAATCTACAAGAAATTTTGGAATATGTTCAGAAATTTTTGGTCTAAATCCTTTACATATTTTAACAGCTAAAATATGATCATGAGGAATATCATTAAAAGGGATTTCTTCAGAAAGAAACTCATTCATAATTATTCCAAATGAATAAATATCTGCTGCTTTTGTATATTGATATCCACGTAAAACTTCTGGTGCCATATAAGGTAATACTCCATAAACTCCTTCTTTTTTATCTGATTTCTCTTTATTATTTGCTGGTTGACACATTCCTAAATCACTTATATACATAGCCCCACCTTCTAATATATTACCTGAATGAAAGTCTTTATGGACTTTTTCAGCATTATGAATACTTAACAGCCCATTTGCAATTCTTAATAAATCATAAAGTTTTACATTACAGGAATTATTTAAGTAGTAATTTCTTAAATTTCCATTTTCACAATAACGTAAAACCATCATATAATCTTTGGTATTTGGATCTTGAGTTATTCCATAGCAGAAAACAACCCCCAAATATAAATCTGAAAATGAGATTTGATCTAACAATTAATATTAAAAAAAAGTTTAATAAAAATTACAATGACAATTTAAATATAACATGATAAATTAATTTTTTTATTTAGTTACCTCATTTAAAAAATCTGTACTAATTTCAGAAGAATTATCTAAACTTTTTAAAGCAACTTTTTGGCCCGTGTATCGGTGCCATTTTGATTTTCAATATCCCAATAACCAATAAATCCTTCAGGCCATTCGGCTGAATAAATTTTACCAAAGCCTCCTCTGGTAATATAAGTGACATTTTGAAATTTCTCAAAAGGTATCCATTCAAGACAATTTATACAATATACAGCATTAAGTTGTGAATGTTGTATTAATTCATCAATTTCTTTATTTCCACTAGTCCAATTTTTAAAATTTTCTTCAAATCTTTTTGCATTACAAGGTTGACACCAATATTCTCCTGTGCCAGGTTCATTACATTCTCCACATATACCATATACTTCTTTTCTTTTTTCTATTTCGTCCATATAGATTATTTTATCATCAATTTCTTCTGATTTGATAACTGAATCAATAGAAGAAATTGTAACATGTTTCTAAATATGTAATAAAATTTATTTACTATTTAATTCATATTTTTATAATAAATTATAAAGTGAAATTGCATTTACATGATATTTATCAGAATCGACATATTTCCATAAATTTTTTGGCTTTTCTCTGGATGCTTTATTTAAAATTTCCATATTAGTATTTCTTGGCTTTTTTTAAAATATCTTTTTAACGATTCTATACTTATAAATGTGTGTTGATTACAATAATTTTAGTTATATGTGTAATACTGTTATTTACTTTATAATAAATGAAAATTATTAAAACAAATTTAGTGAACGTAAAATTATTTTATTTTATTACAGAACTCTGTACTAAATGTATGCAAAAATATGCATGCACACTGCACATCTGAGGCTAAAATTCATACCAATCAAATTCAACAATTTTTACATCCGCACATTTTTTATTTTTCATTACCCAATTGAAAAATTGAGAAACCATTTGGATAAATAAGGAATCATAACCATTCATCATATAAATAAATGGTGTTTGTGTGACTAACGTTTAGATTAGCCTGTATAATTAATTTTGAATTGCTGATCCGTATACATCTAATCCAATTCCGGTTAATGAAATTTTAATCAGAATTTCAAATATTTATTTTTTTTTCCAACTTACAAATAGTTCTTTCTTTTTTTTTCATTCTTTTCATCTTTTCACCGTTTAGAAAACCGAAAAATTATTATTATTTTTTTTTTATTGAATAATCTTTTAAGACTTATATTATTTTTTTTTCGGTCTTTTTTTTAGACCATATTATTAATTTTTTTTTTGAATTTTTTTTCAATCTTTTTAAACCGAATTATTGTTCTTTTTTTTTCAGAATTTTTTTCGGTACTTATTTTTTTTTTTTTAAATCGATTTCTTTCTCTTTTCTCCCAAAATTTTTTTTCTCTTTCTTTCGAATATTTTTTTTATTTTTTCTTTATTTTTTCCTTTTTGGTTTCTTTTTTCAACCTGACTTTTCTCTTTGTCCCTCCCCACAAATTTTTTTTTTTTCGTTTTTATTTTCTTTTTGTTTTTTTCCGGTTGGCTTTTTTTCCAATCCGAAAAATTTTTTTCCCCTTTTCCTTTTTCGGTTTGGCTTTTTTTCTTTCAAACCGAATTTTTTTTTTCCGAATAAATTCTTTCACCATTTAGGTTTGATCGGTGATCAGATCAATGCTGTTGCACCACGGCAATTGCCTTTTTTCCCGATTCTTATTATTAATAATAATATTATTATTTTTACATCAAGCTCAAAAATAGACTAACATAATTACTTATTTATTTATTGTAACAATTGATCGTTATAATTAATTTTTCTGGGAATTTTTTTTCATACTAAGTGAGATATTTTTTTTTTTCTAGAGGATGTAATTTTTTTTAATGCTACAATGGAATTTTTTTAAGATAAAAAAAAAAAAGATTTTTTTTGTAACAATGTAACAATAAAATACTTATACATATTGTTTTTGTAATGAATTTGTAAATTTCGCAGTACTGCAACATTTGTTTCATGTGATAAATAAAATTTGCATTTAATGATAATATTTCATATACTGTATAACACTTGCACACAAATCATTATCATTTTTATAATCGTATAAATTGTGTAATTTATTACATTTATCACCTACTAATATCATCATAATAATAGTAAAAAACTAGACCTATTCACGCTGCATGGCAAATGAAATATAGGTATATTATCATTACTCTCTTACTTGATGAGCAAGTAACATCCCCGGCGCAACGCGACGGGTTACGCCTAGTTAAAATTAAAAATTAATATATAATATTTGAATGGATTCTACACAGCCAGTTAATTACATTAAAGAAATAGGTAAAGGTGATTTTGATAAAGTATATTCGGCAATGTGGGATGGTCCGTTGTATTGGAATAAAAAGGAAATATAATGTACAAGAGTTTTAAATAAAACAATGGCTTTAAAATGTTTAAATAATTCTTAAAATATTTTCGGTAACTTTCTAAATGAAATATGAAAATATTTTTATAATTTATTTGAGTATTTTTTTCTTAAATATAATAATTAATTTTTTTTCTTTAGGTTAAAACTTAAAAGCATATTCAACTAATAATATTAATAATATTGATAATTCTGGTGAAATTCTAGAAATATATGGTTTCAAAATCCAGATATAAAATCATGATTCCTTAATATGCAATAGGGGGAAATCTTAATGATTGGTTAATAATAATTATAAAAACTTTAGTTAGTCAAGTAAATTAAAATTGTTAAATAATATTATTGGTGAGTTTAAAGAAATCCATCAAAAACGGATGATTCATCGTGATTTTCATCCAGGAAATATATTATTATTCATCATTGAGCTATTTCAAACTATATTTCAGATATCCAAAGCACACGGATGATAATATTGATTATCCCATCGGTATTATGTATACACCGATGGATTTTTTGTAAATTCCATCGGTATAAAAAAAGTATAAAAAAGTATAAAATTCATAGGTATATACGTCATACACAATGAGATAATCTTGTTATTCTATGGATATCTAATAAATACTCCATATACACAGATGCTCCCCTCCCTTCGAGGGCCCCAAGGCATCGGTGAATATTTTTGAATTTTGATACCCATGGAATAACAAGTATTCTCTTAGACTGTGCTATCTAAGATAAATTTTATAATTAATTGATTATTAAAAGACTTTGTTAAGCCTATAATGAGAAATTATTATTATTATGTATGTATATTTATTTTAAAAAGTAATTTTGATATTATAACTTTTGTTCAACACTGATTATAGAGTAATACGTAAACTTTTTGTTTACATAAATAGAACAAATAAATGTTGTTGTTTTAAATGAATAACTCAAATTGATATAGTAAATTAGTTAATAGTAACTTTAACAGAATAATATTTTGCACAAGAAAAATTATTTCTTATGCTGGCTGATTATTTACAATAAGCCATACTACTTCTAATACATAAAAAAAAAGTACATACAAAATAATGTGTGTACCGAAAAAATGAATATATATGTATATATATATATTATTTTGAGGGAACATCCAATCAATTATATTACGCGTGAACCAATTAAACGGAAATTCTCGACCATCGATCACTCATTTTTTGAATCTAAAAAATTGATTTTTTCCGGTATATATTGAATCTTACTATAATCGGTTATTTTTTTTTAAAAGAATAATTATATTTTACGTCAAAAGTCGTATGAATTTACGCCAATGACGTAACACTATGAAAACTTCACTTAAAATTTATTAAAATCGTTAAATTTTATTAAAATTTGCCAAAATTTATTAAATGTCGGTAATTCGTGAGAATCAAATATAATCAATTACTAGTATTCTTTTTTTTTTATAAAGTTTCAATAGCGGATCAACGAATTAAATTTACTATAAGAATTTTCGTAAATCCATGTTAATGAATCAATGAGGAAAATTGGACTTAAAATAGTTAAGTCCACCGATCAATCTAAATCACGTTAATGAATCAGTGAGGAAAGAGGAAATTAAAAATAAATTAAGCCCGCCGATCAATGTAAAGCACGTCAATGATGTCAAAAATAATGATCACTTAACAGTGATCTGCAAATTATATTGATCTTTGGCCCTTTTTTTCAAAAATAAAGTATATAAACCCATCATAAAATTACAAATTTGAAGAACATTTTTTGTCTACAAAAAAAAAAAAAGAAATAGAAAAAACAATTTCTTGACTATTAACAACAATGGCATTCACGTCAATAGTTTTAGAGATAAATTTGATTACAACTATCAATGTATTAATTCTCCTATATGTATTGAGATATTATTACAAATATTTTACACGTAAATCGCGAATTCCTGGTCCATTTCCACTTCCATTAATTGGTAATTTGCATCAAATAGGATTAAATCCAGCACAATATGCAAAGGATAATCATAAAAAATATGGTGATATGTTTGAAGTTTGGGTTGGAAGTAAAAGATCCGTTATTCTTTGTCATCCTTCGTTACTCGATCAGGTTTATGTTACAAACTCACAAACTAAATTTTTTCCAAGAGGTGCAATCAAATATGTTAAATCGAATGGATTAGCATTTAATGACGATCTTACATCATGGAAACGAAATAGAAAAATTGTTATGCAATCAATAAGTTCTCACAGATTTCTTAAAGACTTCACCCAACTTGTACAATCATTATTTAATGAGAATGAAAGTTATTGGGACAAAAAAGAATATCAATTTGATTTTGTTGAATGGATGAAATGTTTCATGACTGATATTATCTTACAAACTGTTACTAACAAACCTTCTTATTGTCTTAATACGTACTTGTTCGGTGAAAATCAAGATGATCCGATTAGACTTGAAGAAATCAAAAGATCCTTTAAATTTACTAAAGCTTCAGGAACATTTTTTCCGAACATGCTTTTTCAAGCTTTCGTTCCTGAAATATTTAAAAATTTACCAGGATATTATCATTTGAACAAAAAATACAAAAAGAGCTCTGATTGGTTAAATCAATTTATGCTTGAATTTATCAGTAAGAGAAGAAATGAGATTAATAATAATATGCAAAGTGATGGAAATATTGGTTCAAATTTGTTGGATAATTTATTGACATTAAACACTCCACTCGATCCTAACTATGATGGAAGCGAAGCTCCATTAACTGATCAAGAAGTTTGTTCCACCATTACGGATGTCAGTGTAAATGGTACAGAAACGGTATGTTTTATATTTTAAATTATTGAAAATATAATATTTTCATTTAAATAACTAATAATTTATTTAAATAAAAAAAAATGATTTAATTACCATATTAGACTATAAATATGACCTGCTACACAATTTGGTTATTAGCTAAACATCCTAAAGTTACTGCACATTTTCGAAAGGAAATAAGCGAAATTTTAGGTGATGATTTATCAAGACAAATAAGCTATGAAGATTTGGAAAAATTTACATACCTTGACGCAATTTTAAAAGAATCCGTACGAATATACACAGTTGTACTATTATCACCACGTGTTTCAACACAAGCAAGTATTGTTGGAGGAAATCATTTGGAAGCTAATACAACTTTCTTTGTTGGTCATGATATAATTCATAAATTACCTGAATTTTGGGAAAATCCTGATGAATTCATTCCAGAAAGATTTTTAAATAATGAAATTGCTAAGAATGCTTTTATACCTTTTGGAGGTGGTACGAGAATTTGCCCTGGAAAGAATATATCTAATGTACTAATGAAAACCTTGTTGATTTTGTTGCTTAGAAAATATGACGTTGAATTGGTTGATAAAGTATCGGAAAAACCTAACTTTAAATATTCATTATTTTCTCAGTGCATTGATATGAAAATTGTTGTACGTCCTAGATATTAACAAATTATGTGATATCATCTTTTCTTTTTTATTTTTAAATTGATGTTAAATTTTATTCTTTTTTTATTCTTTTTATTATATCATAGTACCATTCCTAAACATGTTAGAATTTAGTATGATGTTCTTTTAAATTTTGTTTTTAAATAAATTTCTTTTACATAATAAAATATATTTCGTTAAATTCTTGAGTGATAAATTTTATTAACACAATAAAAAAGTTCAAATTGTGGTTTTTAGATATAAAATATCATGGAATAAAACTATTTCTTAAAAAATTTATATATTTGACTGTAGATTACATATTAGGCCAAATTTACTTTATTGGCCGGAATTAATAATGTCACATTGTCACATGCAGCTATTTTTATTGGCAGCTGACGCCACCTTTAAAATAAATGATCCTGCGGTTTAAATCATTAAAAATCACGTTTTAATATAATGAACAAAAGTAGTCATTCATAGAACGATTTTGAATTTATATTAATTTCATCTCGTGATCGATTCATAGCAAAAGCCAGAAATTGTCATGTGATCTTGTAATTCTGGCCAAAATTATTGTGCTATTTTAATTTTCTTAATTTTTTTTTATCCATAATTTTGACTATTTTTAAACTTTTACATACTTTACATTAAGATCGAAATGGTTAGCTTTATAAATGATTTAAAATGACAAATGACCAGGTCATTCGAAAGGTCATTTAAATGGTCAGTCATTTGCCATCATCTATATTGTTGCATTGGGATGGAATTTCTAAAAAAATACATTTATTGATTTAATACATTTATTGATTTAATATGTTCACATAATAATTGTTCATTAACAGAAAAAAATTCATGTGACAGTAAATATATCATCGGCTTCATGAGAAATTATGCCAGTAATACCCATACCACCAGTTTCTTTATATTTAAATTCATCTTGGCCAAAATTAACTTTTAAACTACAAACACAATTAGAACCAATTGAAGGATACCAAGTATAAAATAATCCGATATAAGCGATACCTAAATATTTACTATTCATTATAAAAAAGATTTGTCCAGTATTTAGACAATAACCACAGCCCAACACATCATTTACTTCACCCATTTCTCATCATATTTTGAGCCTGTATACCTTCTACCTTCATCTGAATGAAATCCAACTGAATGTGTATTGCACCCGGGTAATCTTCAATTAAAGAGAATTGGAAATCACTTAAATCATTTAAAATTAAAAATCAATAAAGATATAAATATATAATACCTGTTTGTTGAATATTTTTTTGGAGCAAAACCAACAGCAATTATTGTTTTATTATTACTTGGATTTGATAGGATTGTTATTTCATAGTAATAAAACCAATATTTTACTGGTAATGAACTAGATGAAGGTATCTATTATTACGGAAATAATAGCAATAATTTAGTATAGGAATTTGTTTGTATTTTGACATCTGATTCAGTATTAAAAGAAATTTCAATATTCTGTTCTTTTTTTGAAGTATTTTTACCATTTTCATATTTATCACTATCTGTATGTTACAGTTTCATCAATTTTTTCATATTTAACGCTTACAATCTCTAAGAATGAAACATTTGCTTTAGGTACAAATTTCTATTCATTCGCACTTTAAATTTTTTATATCTAACTTTGGTTCTTTTTCTAAAAATTTTAAAAATTTTCCCAAAAGCTTTTTTTTAGGAAATAAGCGGAGCTTTCTAACAGAATCTGTTTATTATTTATTATCATGATATACTAAGAAGGGAAACAAAATACATTACAGAAACAGGTTAAATAGCGGCTTTGTGGCCACTACACATCTACTATATATATATTAAAAAGTAGTAGGCGTACCACTATTTTATAGTAAATATAGTGTAGTGATGCAGTACTTCCATAGTTAGTATATAGAAAATTAGTATAAATGTAAATTTACCATAATGTAAACATATAGTAGCGATGTAACAAATTAACATAAATGTATGGTAATTATAAGTTCTAATAAAAGTAATTGTGCAGTAAATACAACTTTTATTTGTAGTAATTATGTAGTAAAATATAGTACATTTGCAGTAAGTATAGTACATTTGTGGTAAACATATAGTACATTTATGGTAAATATATAGTACATTTGCATTAAATATATACTCAATTGTAGCAATTAAATAATTTTATCCTCAAATATAAGTAGTTCCGAGCGATAGCTCTTCCAATAAATCACATGATGTGTTTTTACGACATACCAAAAAAATTATGAATTAAACACTGACAACATTAAGCAAACCTTCAAGGATAAATCGCGCTTCAATCCTTTATGTTTCGAATTTTCAAATCGAAAATCGAAACTTACCATATCAGCATATCCAAGTCCCAAAGTCGAAAACCGATATCTACAAAAAAAAGAGAGAAATTAATGTCCTAAAAAATAAAAGAAAAAGAACGGTTAGTACTGTTCATATAATAAAAAAATAAAAAAAAAACTCCAAAAAATTCGTACTTACGAATCTTTGAAGTTTCTGTATTTCGGAAGCCCACCAGAGAGCCGAACCTATAAAAAAAAAGAATAAAAACGGTTAGTACCGTTCATATAATAAAAAAATAAAAAAAAAACTCCAAAAAATTCGTACTTACGAATCTTTGGAGTTTCTATATTTCGGAAGCTCACCCGAGAGCCGAACCTAAAAAAGAAGAAAGAACGGTTATTAGTAACCGTTCATTAATAAAATTAAAAAAAAAACAAAAAAAAAACCAAGATTCGTACTTACTTACGAATCTTGGTTTTCCGTTCTTCGGAACTCGTAAGCCTTCCCGAACCTATAAAAAAAATACAAGAACGGTTAGTAAACCGTTCGTAATAATACAAAAATACAAAAATAAAAAAAAAGTAAAGATTCCTTACGAATCTTTGGGGTTTTCCGTTCTTCGTAACTCGGAAGCCAACCCGAACCTAAAATAATAAAGAAAAAAAACGGTTATTAGTAACCGTTCGTTAATATCACAAAAAAAAATAAAAGAATAAAACCAAGATTCGTACTTACGAATCTTGGCTTTTTCCGTTCTTCGGAACTCGGAAGCCCACGATCCTAAAAAAAGAAGAAAAGAACGGTTATTAGTAACCGTTCATAATATTAAAAAAAAATAAAAAAAAAACAAGATGAATCTTGGCTTTTTTCCATCCTTTGGAAGTTCATCCCCTTTCATTTTCCCCTTTCGTTTTCCCCTTTCGTTTTCCCTTTCTTTTTCCCCTTTCGTTTTCCCTTTCTTTTTCGTTTTCCTTTTCCTTATCATTTTTACTCTATCCCTTTCGTTTTCCCCTTTCCCTCTCGTTTTTCGCTTTCTTTCATTTTTCGCTTCTCCTTTTGTTTCTTTTCCCCTTTCATTTTTCGCTTCCCCTCTCGTTTTCACTTCCCCTTTCATTTTCACTTTCCCTTTCGTTTTCTCTTGCCCTTTATTTCCTGCGAAACCTATATGGAAAACAAGAATGGTTAGTAAACCGTTCATAATATTAAAAAAACTACTACGAAGAAGATTACACCATCATTTGATACACTCAACTTTCGGTATAATAACCATATTCCATATATCCGTTATTTGTTTTTCTGTTACATTCTTTTGCTTCATTATTCTCGTTGCGTCATTTATTATTTCATTTATTTTTTTCACATAAATACCTGCAAGTAAAAGAAAGAAAAGAAATGTTAAAACGTTTCTAAAATAAAAAAAAAACTGACTTCCCCTCCCATTTACCTTATTATCCAAAGTCTGGTGCGTAGTTTTGACCGGCATTCTGGGAAGGGAAAGACGAAGCCACACTAAAATTTTAAAAAAAAATAAAAAAAAAAATTTTTTTTTTCCGCGCCTATAGAGCCAAAGGACGAGGAAAGGAAGGAATAAAAGTTTAAAACAGAATGCATAAGATTCTTTTTTAAACTTTTGATACGCGTAATGGCCATAACGCGTGACGTAGATATTCGACCAGCATGAACTGATTGAACTGTGCAGTTTTATTGTTAATATCACGTGATAAATGATATACAATTAATCGTACAATTGGAGAATACAGTATGTATGATCTTAAAAATTTTTTTTAGTTAAATTTTTTTTTCCAATATAGATGCAATTAAAAAAGTCTAATATAATATTTTATTTATATATTGTACAAGACAATTTACAATGAAATTAATAAAATTATACTTTAAAAATAAAATATTGAATATTACGTGATCAATTCATTACTATTTACTACTGCCAGTTTGATCTTAAAAATTTAAACTAAACTTTTTTAAGCAACTCCCTTTATTCGCTTTTTCTCATTCCTTTGTTTTATCCTTCTTCCCTTCCTTCATTCTTATAAAAAAAATTTTTTTTTATTTATTTTTTTTACGGTTTTTAACTGTCATATTTTTATTTATAAAAAAATAAACCATTTTTCTTCCTTTATCCTTTCCTCCTCTCGTATTTATCATATTTATTTAAAAAAGCCCATGAAAAAAAAATTTCAAATTCTATAATGAAACGCTATAACATTTCAATTTTTTCTTCTTTTGCTAGGTGTATTTCATTTTCTGGGTGTACATTTTGTAAGTTTTCAAAAAAAAATTTTTTCTTTAATTTATTTTAATAAATGGTCACCACTAACAGTTCATTTTTTCCTTTTTTTTTTAGACAAACTTTTGAGTCTTTGGATGCGTTGGAATTCAGTACTAGGCAAGGGTTTTTTTATTATCTTTTTTATTTATAGTCATAGTATTAAGGCTAATGGAATTTTTATCTTTTTTTTAGACAGGTCTGGATGCGTAAATCTCAGTAAAATTCAGAAAATTTTTTTTAGACAGGTCTAGAATGTGGATTTTGGTAGGAAATGGTGAAATTGAAAATTTTCTTAGATGAGTATAGAACATGGATTTCAAGATTTGAACATTTTCTAATGTTCATCTTTTCTTTTTCTTTCAGTAAACAGTCCTAGACGCGTGAATTTGTTATAAGAATTCTTTTAGAATGATCTGGTCATAGAATTATGGTGAGAAATTAAAATTTTTTTTAAATTTTATTTATTCAAATTTTCTAATGTTACATCTTTTCTTTCTTTAGACAGGTCTGGACACGTG